TCTCATTTCCTTTGTGTTCGGACAGCAACTGTCCTGCCATCCACATCTTTCGTAGACAGCATGATACTGAGAGGTCCCATGATTATTAGTTGCCATCATTGCTGCTGACTTAGCTCCTTACTATCGGCTTTGTGCTTGAGTTTCGAAGTGGCTAATTCAACATGTGGAATCCTGGGCTTTTGTTTCTAAATTATCCAATGATCATACTTCTTGAGTTGCAGCACGAGACTTGGCACTTAATGCTACGTTCTCCAAATTTTTGCCAGGGTAGTCCCAGTTCTTATTTCATATTTCTAGCATCCATCTCATTTTGCTTTTGTGCACAAGAAGCCATTGCTCTTCAGAAGTTATTCACAAAGGTTCTAATCCTTTATAACATTAATATAGAATGCAATCATCAAAGGCGTGAATACCCAAATATTGAAAATTTGCTATTCATAAAATAATCTTATATCTGTGACTGTCAAACTCAATCCCAGGGTCCTCTGGGGCCCACAGAGACTTGTCAGAGAGTTGCTGATGCAGGGCACTCTACACATACTGAAAGGTAAGTGGGCAACTGGCTGGAAAAGGTGCTATTTGGGCTCCAGTTTCTCTAGTTCTCCATTACTCAACCCCTTTAACCTAACACCATGAGCTCTGCTGTCACTGGGCTGTGTGTGCCCTTGCATCTGCTGTTCTTGGGCTTCGAACACGTCTGTGCTCCACCATCAAAGCTAGCTGGACCCAGTCAGAAGCAGGCACACTTATTTCATTGCTATTTGAGAGTCAGTGCTGGTTTTCTTAAAAAGCAATATTAAACTCTCTTTGCATGCAGCACTTTTGCAGTAAGGGACCTATACAGAACTATCATAGCTTGGGGCAGGAATTTATGATCACTAGTTCATTTTAAAATAGAAATTGATGCAAAAAACGTTTGAATATCAACGTCTTATAACCCTAGTAGAAACTGTTTGCATGGGGACGATGGTGAAGTTGGTCAAAAATGGCTATAACTGTAACTGGAAAAGCACAGAGTAGGAATATACACAGGAAATCCAGTTTTCTTCCTGGTTGTTTGGATGTTCAAAGTGATTTGATAGGCTTTCAGGACAGATGAGGTTTATCTGCAGTAGGGGTTCATGTGAGCTTTTGATTGGTTAACATTGGATGACCAAATATTTTGATTCAATGAATAGACTGTAGCTTTGCCAGCATTGCCTTTTTATTGATTTGGCTAGCCAACAAATTCTAGCCTCTCTCTGCCTTTGTGAAAGGCAGAATATCCTTGTGAAACATAATTGAGATAAAACATATATTTATATCCTATTTTAAAGTGTAATTCAGAAGAAACAAATATTCTTTCCATCTCATACTGTGAACAGAGTGGTGATTTTCTTGTTCACAGTGCATATTAACAAGCAGTGGTTCAGGTTAATGATGTAACATGGCATTCTGCGGTACTGTTCAATGTGCAAAAGACATTTTAAGGTCAGACATTTTACATCTTTCAGAAGGGGTTAGGATGTGTAGGTTCTCTTCTTGATTTCTTCTATGAGATTTTCTCTTGCAACATCAACCTGCAGAAAATAATCCAAAGAAAATCATCAATTCAATTTGTAATTACAAGAGATACTTATAATGTTGTCCACATTCACTGTTTTTGCCAACATTTAAAATGAAACATTGTACTTTCTTCTGGCTGCTCATATTGTCTCGAAGCACATAGGCTACATTTACAAAGGTTTATGGAACATCACAAATTTGGTCATAAAATTAGACATAAATAAAACTTGCAAATTAAACTCCTTAGGGCCTGGCATCAGGTTTGAGGGGTCAAATGGCCTCTGCCTGCTGCCAATTCTGATGTTCTTATGGGAAGAAAGCAGAGTTAATGTTTTGAGTCCAGTAACTCTTATCAGAACATCAGACTCGAAATGTTAATTCTGCTTTCTCTCCACAGGCACTGCTGAGTTTCACAGCAATTTCTGTTTTTATTTAAGATCTCCAGCATCAGCAGTTCTTGGTTTTATCTTATGTCTTTATGTTCTACAAAACTCTCTGCTGCCTTATATCAATATACGTGCCCTGTTTTAGGGCGTAAAAGGATCCAGTAGTTTGTAGGCTGTCTGCAAGTTGTAATGTCTGTCTGTCGTTGTACAGTACCTCTTGTATGTTTTACCTTGCAAATTATTGGAATCTCTCAATATGCACTTTTTGTGTGGGTCCATTATTTCGGCACATTTGTTTGCAAAAGTTCAATTGTGTTGAAGTATTCTGTACACAGAATCCTAGGGAAACAGTCACCTTTTTTTTTCCACATAAAAATATTTGTTTATTTATTTAGCTAACCTCCTCTCTTGTAGAAACAACTCGAAGTTTGACAACCCCATCTTTGATTTCTTGCTCTCCAATTATAGCCACCAGGGGAATTCCTGTCTCCTCACAATACTGCAGCTGGTTCAGGAGCTTTGGGTTCTTCTTGTAGATGATTTCTGCCTGTAGAGTTGCACAATAAACAATCCACCACCGTAAATACTATGGAATGGGTTAACAAGAGGCTGCTCAAAGTTGATGTTAGAGGAATCATTAAATATTGAGATTCAAACAGTATCTAATCATCGCTGAGATTATTTTACCCACTAGGGCTGGCAATTTCCTAGACAAATTCCAAATTTTGATCACTTACAACAGAATCCTACTCCCTGGTAGAATGCAATAGTTACATATGGTATGAGCTTGCAATGATCTAGAGTGACCTGGTATCCACTACATGAAAAGAAAATGGTGCTCTGCTAAATTTTATTGACCTCCTCAGCACCTTTCTCCACTCCAAAGATTGTGATCCTTATTGATAAATGTGCTGAAGGGAGCAGGTTCCCCAACTATCAAAATCTTTTAACAATAGAGATTGCTGAAAAACTCAGCAGGTCTGGCAGCACCTGTGAAGAAAAATCAGAGTTAATGGTTTGGGTCTGGTGATCCTTCCTCGGAACCGTTCTGAGGAAGGGTCACTGAACCTGAAATGTTAACACTGATTTCTCTTCACTGATGCTGCCAGACCTGCTGACCTTTTCCAGCAATCTCTATCTTTGTTTCTGATTTTATCAAAATCCTTCATTATTTTGAAAATTTCTATTGAATCTCTCCTTAACCTTCTCTGCTATAATCCCTCCACTTAAGTGAAGTCCTTAATCAACGCCTTGCTTGCTACATTTGCAGCGCATCACAAACCTTAATCCCATACTTCCACAGCTCTGCCACCAATTTCATCTTCTCTTCCAGAAGCTGCTTCTGCGCTGTGGCAACAAGGATCTGAGTCTCTGTTGTACGAATTTTCTGATCAGAGCTCTGGCAAAACAGAACAGTAACCAACACAGTGATCAGCAAAACAAAGAATCTCAGGATATACCCTGAACAGATTATGATCAGTCGCAGTCTGAAAATAAGGAGCAGGTCATTTATAGCTGTGTTCTGATGAAGGGTCATTGGATGGGAAACATTAACTCTAATTTCTCTTCACAGATGCTGCCAGACCTGCTGAACTTTTCCAGCAACTTTTGTTTTTGTTTGATTTACAGCATCCACAGTTCTTTTGATTTTCATTTACAGCTGAGATGAGAAGAAACTTCTTTACTTAGAGGGTGGTGTATCCTTGGAATTCTCTATCCCAGAGGGCTGTGAAAACTGAGTGAGTTCAAGACAGAGATAGATAGAATTCACATTACTAATGACTGTATAGATGGGAACAAGAAGGTGAAAAGGTACACAAACACATTCAGTGATGGGGAAAATCTGTGCAATTCAACATGGGGCAGTATGAGGTTATCCATTTTAAATGCAAGGATATTGGAATATTTTCGGAATTCCAATGTGCTTTTTTTAAAAAATGACTTTCAAAATTGCTCCTCTCCAAAGTTCCTGCTCACAGCAGAGTTTCAGGAGAGGGAAGGAGTGAGCGAGAGTGTTTAAAAACCACATGAATTGTAAAATCACCAGCACTTCTGAACAAAGGGCACTTTCATATTGGATCTTCAGCTTTGAACTGGATCTGGGTCTCGAAAGAAAATTGAAGTTCAGGAGAATGAAGCGGTGAGAGGGAGAGTTTATTTTTAATACTTAAACTTTAATTTCTTTTACTGATGCAGGAGCTTAACAATGAAAATACTTCCATTTAGAGGGTATAATATTTAAAGTGTGTCTTTTTCTGATTAGAAAGATCCTACAGAACTCAGCTACAGTGTTAATTGAATGTCACTTAAAGTTTCAAAGCAGGTGACAAAGAAGCAAGTATCCAGAAAGTCTGAGTGGAATTACACTCCATTGTTGAAAAGTGTGAAAATTAGAACATTGTTCCCAAGTCAAAAAGAAGCAACAATGGCGAGAAAGGCCCCCCTGTCAGATCAATCCAGCACACTGGGAGTCTCCGAGTCCCTGCCCTCAAGGCTTTGCAAAGGAGATCGGAAAAGAGACATTGTGGTTTTTATCAACGTTCAGCCGAGCAGTTCCAATGATGCAGGCCTCTGTCTCTGCATCCATAGGAACAACTTGTGGAACACAAATATCAACTCCAACTGAAGAACTGCCAAATCGATAAAAGCAGCTCTTTGGTTTGCTGCATATTTGCTAGTCTTCCAGTGCAAAGAATTACCTGCAACTGAATGGTCAACTGGCACGTTCTAAGGTCCAGGACTAAGGGTTTGGTACAGCAAAAACACAATGGGCTGAGGCCACTAGCTAATGCCTTTCGGCCACTATTAACAAAGGGGCTGCAAACTAGGGAAAAGCCCTCAGGTTGCACATTTGACACGTAATGAGTACAGTAAAAATTAACTGTAATCTAGACATACTGAGTAACAGATTATTGGAAAAAATGATCTTGTTTTCATTTTACATAATATAAGCAGTGCATGGTATTATGTACACTTTTTTATAAAATTTAATGAATAAAACATTTTTGGAAAAATAATCTGTCCTAAGGCAGAGTAATTAAAAATGATCTCTGATACCATCTGAGACAAGAACAGAAATTGCTGGAGAAACTCAGCATGTCTGGCACCATCCATAGAGAGAAGGTAGAGTTAATGTTTTGGGTCCAGTGACCATTCGACCGAAGGTAAATGCCGAGGCTATTGCTGGCTCATTGTCTATCGCCATTTTCCTTGATTTTACAAGTTTCAGGGGTGATAGTGTCATGGTGGTAATGTTACTGGACCAGTAAGCGTTCTTAGATCACGAGTTCAAATGCCACCACAGTGGCTAGTGGAATTCAAAGTTAGACGCAGTAATGGTGGCCATGAAACTATCAAACCCAACTGGTTCATTAACGTTCTTCAGAGAAGAAACATTTACTGTCCTTACTTGGCCTGGTCCACATGTGACTACAGATGCAAACTAATGTGGTTGACTCACAACTGCCCACTGAAGTGGACAATTAGTGGCATTGCCAGTTACACCCAAATACCATGCGTGAACAAACAAAGAAACATCTGCATTAACTGCACTGATGTGAGACAACCACATAGATTAACGGAATAAAGGTGGCACCTCTCTTTCACAGGTGGTCTTTGAAGACCCAGTTGTTTATTTATAAGCCAACAGCTACTTGTCGATCCTTTGTTGATACACAGTTCTTTTTACTTTCAGATTTAAAACAAAATTCTGGGTTTTTGGATTAGATGACTCTCAGTTAGTGGCACACCAGCATAATCACTGCAGCACCAGTGAATGGGATAAAAATGGGTGGTCACATTTGAAAAGCTAACTAAAAGGAAACATGAGGAATATACTGATGAACCTAACGCCTGTTTTATCTCAAAAAGAACCATTAGCTAAGCATCAAACTGACTGGATATCGGGATCAAAGTTTAGTGTCAATCACTGAGATATGTATCTTCCAGATTGCGAATACACAAAATTATTGCATTGTTTGTGGTCCCCCCCAAGCAGGTACACTTTATTATAGGGTGTGATTCAATCTAATGCATGAAATTTGATTTGAAAACAGCCACACTAGACGGAAAATGAAAGTTGAAACCCTGACTGAAAAGTGCTGCAACAGGTGTAGGGTGCCATAGTAATGAATGTTTCCCACCTTAAACATCCTTTTCTTTTGCTCTAAGTAGCATAAGGGTTCAGTTGCAGTACCTCCATTTTCTGTTCCATTATGGAGAATATCCTTTCAATCCCAATGCTGACTCCCACGCATGGCACTTTCCGACCTTTGGGATCAAACATTCCAACTAGGCCATCGTATCGCCCTCCAGCAGCTACACTGCCAACGCCAGTTGGCTCACAATGTTCATTCTGTTGCATCCGGGTGTCAGCCTGATTTGGGCCTAGCACAGCCTCATAGATCACACCAGTGTAGTAGTCTAAACCTCGAGCTAAACTGAGGTCAAAGACAACCTGAAAAGGGAATAAGTATTCTCAACTCAAAATCAATATAAGTGAAAATTGCATGCATCGATAGCCACCAAAATACTTTTTATAACAAAGGTTCTAAAACAAATGTTTGAATCTTTCTTACACTGTTTATTAAATCTATATTGTTTAGAAGTGAGCTAAATAATTATTTGTGTTAGTTTTGCATAAGTAGCAGACCAACCGTGGTTGCTTTTTGCTGCTTTAGAAACAAGAGTATCAAAAAATGTAATGAAGTTGGTGTTGCAGGACATACATAGGAACTTACTTAAATGTGAGACATTTGCAGGGAGTTGTGCACTAAAGACCACTTATCACAGATTACCCAACAACCATCACTTCATCCCTACACTACCGTCTAAGTACTATAGAAAATGCAAAGTGACAGTGGACCTTCAAGTAAATTACATAAAAATACAAACTGGGCTTCTTTTAATGCTTTTTATCTCACTTGCTGTAAACAAGAATTCAAACGATGAACTGTGAATCTATGAGAATAAAAGTGGTGCAAACAGGATTAGTACTAGCAAGCCAATTCCTTCCAGTGAATAATGTACAAATTCCACCATGAGAGGCAAACTTTCTATTTCATATAAATATATATCCTTTGGAGTAAAGAAAACAACAACATTTCTCCGAAACAGACATAAGTCAAAACTCCTATATTAAACAGTACTGATGGGTTACACTCCACAAACGATAATCTCATCATCAAGTAAAAGCAGGGGTATTGACCAGGGCATTAGGTTATATCAGAAAACTCAGCAAAGCATAGAGCTGAGCCTCTTACCCTGTCTTTAATACCAAGAAATGTCAAATACTCAAAGAGCTGTTTCATGTCAGCTAGACCTTCCAAAGCCACCTTGCTTTGCAACAGTTTGTCATCCTGGAGCAGCTCATCAGCCAACTCTGTTGCACCTGCAAAAGATACAGAATTAGTTTCTCTGCTTCATGAAGGCATTAGTAACACAACAGATAAAGAAAAATGCTGTAATACTGATGGTTTACATCAATGTATCAAAATTAGGTAAGTGACCGAATAAAAACTGAGGGAGACTGTGATATAGTGATGGTGTCACTGAATGAGTAATCCATTGGCCCTGACTAATGCTTTGGGGACATCAGTTCAAAATTTCAAAACAACTGCTTTGGGAAAGGAAACCTGTTGTCTTCACCTTCTTCACACAGACTGTAGTGTGTGTATGGAATGAGCTGCCGGAGGAAGTAGCGGAGACTGGTACAATTACAGCATTTAAAAAGCATCTGGATGGGTACGTGAAGAGAAAGGGTTTAGAGGGATATGGGCCAAATGCTGGCAAATGGGACCAGATTCGGTTAGGATATCTGGTCGGCATGCAGGAGTTGGACCGAAGGGTCTGTTTCCGTTCTGTATGACTCTCTGATCTGGTCTGGCGTACAGGTGACTCTGGATCCACAGCAATGTGAGTGACTCTTGACTTCCATTTCAAATGGCCTAAAGCCACCAGCTGAAGGACAATTAGGGATGATTAATAAATGCTGCTTTGCCAGCAATATCTATATCCCATAAAATAAGGATAAAGAAAGTTGCAGTTTTACTTTAAAATCTGTGCACAGTTAGGCTGCAATAACATTGTGGTCTGAGTTTTGTGTGCGTTTTGCTGAAGCACATTTGCCTGCTTGCATCAAAAATTATAAGTCATGTTTCTAACCCTGGGAGCAATTATGAAAGTCAGCAAATGGGTCAGGGACGTTAACTATATTTACTGAATTTTATTTGACAATGGGGACAGTACATAGTTGTGCTCATTATCTACTACCCTCCTACATTCTGACCAACATTCCACCAAATACCACCAAAAAAAACTTCTGATCATCTCATTATCAGTGACATCCTGCAGCATGCCACACAAACATAGTATGTGCCTGAACAGCAGTAGCTGTTCTTCAAAAAGTACTTCACCGACTTTACAAACTTTTCACTGCACTCATTCGAGTGCACATGACAATAAACGCTATTCTGAATTCTGACTGTGAGGCATTCTTACATTCTAACTCTTTAAATGTGTGCTTGTTCCTTCTTCTTTATAGGCTAACGTTGTTTTTATTTCTGTCAAATGCTGAATGCACAAAATGCTGGAGAAACTGCTGTAGGTCTGGAAGCATCTGTGAAGAGAGAAACATTTCAAATCCAATTACTTTTCTTTGGATTCTTCTTCAGCAATTCCAAAGAAGGGTCAGATTTGAAATGTTAACTCTGTCTGTTTGTCTCTCTCTCGCCACAGACGCTGCCAGACCTGCTGAGTTTCTCCAACATATTTTGTTTTTACATCAGATCTCCAACATCCACAGTATTTTGCTCTTATTTCAGCAATTCAGCAAACATTGTGTAGGCTGTGAGGCCTGGAGCAACGTGGGGAATCCCAAGTGCTGGGGTGGTGCGAGGGAAGCGAATGCTGGTAAAGTGTGACTTACCTTGTGGCTGCTGAGTGCCAGTGAGCAGCAGACTGGAGGCTGGTGTGATGTGGGACAGTTGTTGGACTGGGGCTTGGCACCACGTGCTGAGCTGCTGTTTGGTACTCTTACCAGACTGTAACGCAAGTCCTTACCTTTCAATCCTCTCGTATAACAAGATTTTTTTTTTACTCTGTAAGGTTTGTACCTAGGTAGTTGTACCTAAGATGGCACCGTTAAAAGGCAGCCATTGTAAAAAACTTTTCACTGTACTGGAGTACAAGTGACAATAAAGGATATTCTGTATTCAATTACAGGCATACACTTGGTGCAGATTTATGGAGATTGAGACAATTTTGAGGAGTTCAGTCAAAAGCACGTTTATATTAAAAAAAAAGCATACCATTGAGCTGAACGTATTCTCCGATCTTATCGGCAACATCTGGAGAAAGCCCCTTTTCTGCAACCATTTCTTTCTTCACTTCCTGCCATGGCATCTGCAAGAGAACATGAAGTGTGAATGCACAGAAACCTGATGTAGTGACCAATGTAGGATTGTTAAATAAATGGTAAGGAAACGTAAAAATAAGACATCAAAGACACACACATGCACAATAAACACATTTATTTTGTGCATTATTGGTTATCAATAAAATTATAGGGAAACATTTTAAAATAAATCAATACAAGGCATGAAAAAAAAGCTCAATGCTTAGCTCAGCTGAAATAAACAGGAAATGCAGCACTCAATTACATGAAAAAATTAAAGCAGCCTCACCCAATTAACAGCAAAAGGTATATTCTTTTTATTAATGAAGCTTCACAACGGTCAGATTAAAGAAACACCAGGAATGGTTTAGGTCAGGAAGGTTTGAACTAGAATTGATGCTGACTCGGTTGTATTTAGAGTAAGACATCGCTCATTGAAGACAGAGAATGGGGAGGTTGTGTCATTAAGTATATCCAAGGCTGAGATAGACAAGCTTCCAGGCAAATGCGAGGTGATGCATTTTGGAAGGTCAAATACAGGTAGAAATTATACAGTGAATGGCAGAACCCTTACGAGTATTGATTATGCACAAGGATCTGGGTGTGCAGGTCCACAGATCACTGAAGGTGGCATCGCAGGTAGATAAGGTAGTAAAAAAAAAAGGCCTATGGCATACTTGCCTTCATTGGAAGGGGCATTGAGTATAAGGATAGATAAGTTATGCTACAGCTTCACAGAATTTCAGTTAGGCCACACTTGGAATATTGCGTACAGTTGTGGTCACCACTCTACCAGAAGGATGTGGATGCTTTATAGAAGGTACAGAAAAGATTTATCAGGATGTTGCCTGGTGTGGAGGATTTTAGCATTGAAGAAATGTTGAATAGACTGGGTTTGTTTTCACTGGAACGTAGGAGGTTGAGGTGAAACCTGATAGTTTATAAGATTGTGAATGGCATGGATAGAGTGGAAAGCATGAGGCTTTTTCCCCCCCAGAGTGGAGGGGTCAATTACTAGAGGACACAGGTTCAAGGTGCAGGTGGGGAGCTTTAAAAGAGATTGGCGCGGCAAGTTTTTCCACAAATTGGTGAGTGCCTGGAACATGCTGCCAGAGGTGGTGGTGGAAACAATAGCAGCATTAAAGAAACATCTGGATGAATACATGAATAGGAAGGGAACAGAAGGATATGAATCCTGTAAGTGAAGACAGTTTTAGTATGGAAGGGCAAAATGTGTCAGTGGAGGGCCAAAGGGCCTGTTCCTGTGCTGTATTGTTCTTTGTATCATGCAAATAACAGATTAGGCAAAAAGGAGCAAAGTAGAGTTAAGAATTATCACATCAGCCATGATCTTATTAAATGGTAGAGGAGACTCAATGAGCCAAATGGCCTCCTATATCTTATGGTCTTCAGCCAGCATAATGCTGGGTCCAGAATAGTTGCAGTCAATACTTCAAGGTCTCAATGGGAAACAGAGGAAGAAATCAGCCAGCTTTTTCAACTGTTGACCTCTATCCAAAATCCACTGAGAAGTCAAGAGTGATTTACAGCACAGGAGGTAGCCAGTCGGCCCATCAAGTCTATGCCATATAGACAAAGGAAATTAGGTTAAAGGCAGGATCATTTTCAGTGGTGAATGCTGCGAGAGACTATTGTCAAGGCCAACACCATTGAATAACCAGTTGGGTGGGACATTGGCAGTCACAGAATGATACCGCAGTGTGAGTCAGCCCCTTGGGAAAGAGGATGCAAAAAACCACACATAGTACCAAAATTTAAATTTGGATCACTTTAGTCCTGTTTTGAAAGGCAGCTTTATCACTTAAAATAAGCTCAGAATAGAGATACAACATTAAGTTAGTGTTCAGAAGATAATCCACTTCAGAAACATTTCAAGTTTTCTTGCAATACAAGCAGTTCAAAAGGTCAATCCAATATGGGAAGGTTAATTTGCACTGAAATTCTCCTGAGTCACCAGGCAAACAGAAAGGAAGAAGATAAGGAGCAATTTGCATCTGACGGGCCATTTATCTGGCCATGAGGATCAAAACAATTAAAACAAAGCACTTAAAAGTCCCAGGATTTCACCTGGACCAGGCAATGGTAAAACATTTGACAAAGATAACAAATAAATCCCAGAGGAAAAAAGATTTATCTGCATCACTGCAATGAAAAATCATGGAAACATTTCCAACTAGGATGGCCAGTCATTCCATTATCTTAATTCTTATTCCTGAAGCACGAGTATCTAAAGTAATAGTCATAGCTTAGAAGAATATTTCTAAACATCTGGGCCAGCCTGTGGTTCCGCAGGTAGCAGGATGGCAAATAATTGAGAGTTAAAGTCTCACTCCAGGACATGTTTTTTAAATTCATTCATGGGATGTGGGCATCGCTGACTTGCCAGGATTTGTTGCCCATATCTACTTGCTCTTCAGCTGCCTTCTTGAACTGCTGCAGTCGACGTGCTGTAGGCAGACCCACAATACTGTCAGGACAGAAATTCCAGGATTTTGACCGAGTGGCAGTGAAGGAACGGTAATATATTTCCAAGTTAGGATGGTGAGTGGCTTGGAGGGGAACTTGAAGGTGGTGGTGGTCCCAGGTTTCTGTTGCCCTTGTCCTTTGAGATGGAAGTGGTCATGGGTTTGGAAGGAGCTGCCTGAGGATCTTCAGAGACCACCAACTCTCCTCCTTCAGTCGCCCAACCCGACCATGGGCCTGGAGCCTCAGCCTCGCCTGTGATGCCAGACCAGAGGAGTCAGCCCAGGACCTGCTCCTTGCTCGCCAGGAGACCCCAGGCTGGGGTGGAGCTGGAGGACTCCTCCCTCATCCCACCACTCTCCAGGCCCAAAAGAAGACAGACAAAGGAAAAAAAAAATAAAAAGTGAGGAAAATAAAGAGAGAAAGAAAGCCAACAGCAATGGTCGAACCCCGGGCTCAGCCCACCTATTCTGCCACCACCTTTAAAAATGGCGAATCCAGTTGAGTTTCTGGTCAATAGTAACCCCAAGGATGTTATAATGGGGGACTGAATGATGATAACGCCAGTGAATGTCAAGGGGTGATGGTAAGATTGTCTCTTATTGGAGATGGTCATTGCCTGGCATTTAGCAGGCTGATGGAGGTTATGCTCAACAAGAAGGTGGGACTTCCCCTCCACTATTACTGATATTGTCATGGACAGATGCATCTGGAGGTGGCAGATTGGTAAGGATGAAGTCAAGTATGTCTCTCTCGTTGGTTCCCTCACCACCTGCCACAGACCCAATCTAGCAGCTATGTCGTTTAGGACTCAACCAGCTTGATCAATACCGCTGCTGCTGAACTAGTCTTGGTGGTGGACATTGAAACCCCTACGCAGAGTAGATTTTGCACTCTTGCCACCCTCAGTGCTTCCTCCAAGTGTTGTTCAATATGGAAGAGTACTGATTCATCAGCTGAGGGAAGACAGTAAGTGATAACCAATTTCCTTCCACATGTTTAACTAGAAATCATGGAGGTCCAGCGTCAATGTTGAGGAATCCCAGGGCTACTCCCTCCCACTGCATACCACTGTGCCACCACCTCTGCTGAGACATATCCAGGGATGGTGAAAGTGGTGCTGGGACATTGTCTGTAAGTTAATACTGTGAGTATGACTATGTCAGGTAGTTGCTAGAATAGTCTGCAAGATGGCTCTCCCAATTTGGCACTAGCCCCCAAATGTTGGAAACAGCTTTCCAGGGTTGATGAGGCTGTTTCTGCCATTGTCTTTGCCAGTACCTAGGTCAATGCCAAGTGATCTGTCTGATTTCATTTCTTTGTTGAGACTTCGTAGCAATTGATACAACTGAGTGGCTTGCTTGACCATTTCACAGGATAGTTGAGAGTCAACTGCTTTGCTGCGGATCTGGAGTCACACGTAGGTCAGATCAGGAAAGCATGGCAGATTTTCTTCCCTGAAGGACATTAGTGAGCCAGACAATCGACAATGGTTTCATGGCCATCAGTAGATTCTTAATTGCAGATAGTTTCTTATTGAATTCAAGTGCCACCATCTACCGTGGCGGGATTCGAATCCCAGTACCCAGAACTTTAGCTGAATTTCTGGATTAATAGTATAGTAATAATACCATAAGACCATCACCTCCCACTTGAATATAAAATCTGGACTTAGAGTTTAGTGCAGTACTGATGGAGTGCTGCACAATCAGAGGTGCTGTCATAAGTAAGCTTCATACAATTAGTTGGAACAGAGCATAGCCTGAGTGTGTGTGTTTTTGGGAATATGGAGGACCATGGGACTTTATCCTGCAAGTCCTTTTTTTGCCCACTTTATTTAAAAGTTTAAAATTCAGACGTAGTCTAGTTAAGGATATTTTCTAATCAACCTGTTCTGAGATTTTATTACATACTTCTGGAGCAGAGGTGACTTCAATCCAGGTCTCCTGGCTCAAAGGCAGGGACATGACTATGGCCGACCACAAGGGCCCTAACAATTGAGGTAAAAGATCAATAATGGAGCTGATTCAAATGAGGGTGTTATCAGTTAATCACCTGAAGACTTAATAAGGTTTCAATAGGCACTGATTATTATTGAAACTTAATAAGTGGAAGTCATCCTAACTTTGTTCTATTGAGCAGTGGGAGGGGACCTCCTGTGCCGCAGTTGTAGCGTCCCTACCCCTCAACTCAGACACCTGGCTCTCACCAGTGGGACTGTTGAAAGCTCAGGATCAGTAAACTTTGCACGAGCAGTTGGGAGTGAGTATTTTTTAGGAATTTGCAGCACTATGGGAGTTCAATGCAGTGGGTGAGAGATACATTTTGCTGTTTTTCTTGGTACACTGTCTCTAAGTTTTTGTTTTGGTTTGTAGTCTGTACAGTTATATTCTTCAGTTTCAAATGAGCAGAGGGAGGCCTCAGGTCTCTACTGATTGGGAAAAACAAATCAAACAGTGACACCACAGCAAAGTGGTGTGTTGAATTAGTTTGGGATTTTAAACGTGTAGTTTTTTTTTGGAAGAGGCGGCTAACTGAGAAACAGCAGGAATAAATGAAAGTCAGGATCAATATAATAAATTTAAATTAAGCAAGCAAAGTAGGGTAATACATGAGCAGAGCTTACAGTTAACACTCTGGGTAACTGTGCTAAGTATTACCTGCTTCAAAACCTTAGCCTGTGGCCCAAATAGACAGAAAAGACATCTGTCAATGAATCTGATTAATTTGTGAAAGAAGGGGCACAACTGTGTCAATGAGGAGTCTAGACCTGAAATGTCACTTTTCCTGCGCCTCAGATGCTGCTTGGCCTGCTGTGTTCATCCAGCTCTACACCTTGTTGTGTCAATGAGGAATTGGCTGAACATTGCTTTGGCAATAACTCAAGATCTTTTGCTAAGGACAGAGGGACACAAGTTTGAGAAAATGAGGACAAGTCTAACCACGCTGGATGAGATTGTTAGCTAAACAGTGAAAAATGGTCACAGACTTTAAACAGAGATAACATGGTGTAGAGGTAGATGAACACAGCAGGCCAACCAGCATCAAAGGAGCAGGAAGGCTGACGTTTCGAGCCTAGACCCTTCTTTTCTGAAGAAAGGTCTAGGCCCGAAACGTCAGCCTTCCTGCTCCTTTGATGCTGCTTGGCTTGCTGTGTTCATCCAGCTCTACATCTTGTTATTTCAGATTCTCCAGCATCTGCAGTTCCTACTATCTCTGAAACAGACTTTAAACATAAACCTCTCCCGCCATAGAGGCTGCCTGAACTGCTTTTGAAGTCAATATGATGTTATCAACTGGAAACACCTGAAAATAAAAGCTCATAAACCAATGATTTTAGACAAGGGTTTGGAACAGTCTGAAGAAAATAACAAGACAGGTTTTTCACCTATTCTGTACAAAAGGCTAACAAGTCTGACTCATCACCCCTTTACCTTGTCCATTTTATCTACTGCAGAACAGATGGTTCGAAACTTATCAGCTGGCACTCCGCACACTTCAAACATCCCATCAAGGATACGTCTGTCATTAACCTGAATATAGGCAAATGGACACAGTTACAAAAGCTTTGAATCAGAACAGATTTTTTTTGCATGATACAGTTTCAATCCTTTGAATGACTCATTGCAAGCTGCAAAACTGGATCTTCAGTGTTATAACTCACTGAGAAATTGATGTGAAGGGAAAATGCACAATTTAACACCAAGTTTGAAATAAAAGACTACCTCCTGATTTAGATTTCTGAGTGTAAGATACAAATTTGGACTCCAAATCTTTTGAGGAATCATGGCTCATTCCAAGTCTCAGTTTAAAGTCAGCAACATGGCAACTAATGTAAACCCTGCCCAGTGAAGCACAGGTCTTTTATCTGATCTGGTCATAGACACACAGGTAAATCATATAATTGTAACACAACATAATCAAACAATGGTTTGCATATCTGTATGTATATTTATTTGTTCGTTCTGAACCACTTCTTGTATAACATATGTACGCAGCAAATAACTCGCAGGATGGGTGAAGCCTATTTTTAACCTGTCCCTTGCATCACATGCAACACAAAAAAAGTTGCAAAAGAACTAGAGATAACAAG